AGAGAGCCGGCCGGCGGTGTGCCGCTCCCCCGCGGAAGTGGGGAAAGTGGCAGGGGGAACCGCCCTTCCACGGAGGTGGAAGGGTCGGTAGCCAACCCGGGAAGAACCAGCAGCAAACCCGGGGAGGGCCGAGCAGACAAAAGAACAGCGCAGGGTCCTGTGTCGTTCCTCCACGAAGACGGGGAGCGACAGCTACTATGGTTACGCAAGGATATTTCCTCCTTGTGTATCTTGTAACTTCATATATTCCTGAAATAAATGTGCAGATAACAATCATTTGTTCCAGACACAGTGCAGTTGCTGCTGAGTTCTTCAAAAATTGTGAGATGCTTTTCAGTGTTACTACCAATGCATGGAGTGGCAACAGCCAATCATCTCTTCCTACCTGAAAGCCACAAATGCTCATATAATTTGTGATCCCACAGTGAAAAGCACTTCAATGGTGTCAAGGTTTGATTACGTAATACTTAGGTTTGTTATCTGGTGGGGGTGGGGGGTTAGTGTTCTCCCTTTGGGAGCTACAGTGTAGCATTAGAACAGAATAACAGGTCCGGGTGGTCGGTGGTCGTGGAGGCACAGCCAGTTATGCTGTGGCTTGAGATGTCAGCATCCCATATTGCAGTGCCTGGGATGGAGTCCCACCTCCACTTCCAATCCAGTTTCCTGCTAATGCGCCTAGGAGGCAGCAGTTAATGGCTCAAGTACTTGGGTTCCTACCACTCAGGTGGGATACCCAGATGGAGTTACAGACTCCTGGCTTCAGTCTGGCCCAGCCCAAACTGTTGAGGGCATTTGAGGAGTGAACCAGAGGATGGAAGATTTTTCTTTCTCTCTCTCTCTCTGTGTCACTCTGACTTTTAAATAAAAATACATAAAACTTTAAAAATGGAATCCCCAGGTAATATTAATTACCATTGGAAAAAGTGCTCTCACCTAATCTTCCAGATTCAATCCAGATAAAGCCATTATCAAAAATGTTACACCTGTTATCCAGTTTTCGATTTTAAATTTGAAGGGCCACTTTGCCTCTGGCTCCTGGATCCTCACATTAAGTTAATCGCTCTGACAATAAGAAAGAAGAATAAGGCAGAAAACAAAGGACTCCCTGTGGATTAAGCACCAGCGCCCCTGGCTACACAGGAGGGAATCACGTGGCCATCATCTCCTTTCTTCCTAAAGAAACAAAGGGGAGTCCTCTGCCACAGGGAATGGGGAGAGGCGAGGGTGAAGAGGTCCTCAGATTTATGAAAAGAGAGATGATGTCCTCGGAGAATGCAAAATAGGGATAGAGAAATATTGACGCGGAAATCAAAGTCTGCCTGTGTTCTAACAGTGTGGTGTGCTGGAAGTGAGGCGCAAGCACAGGAAAGCCTCATTTTCCATTTGAGCATTTAAAACATTTTCATGCTCTAGAGTGTTCAATAAATCATTGCATTTGTTTAAAAGGGTTATAATAGAATGCACTCAAAAAGTTTAATAGTTTTAATAACCTGATTCTTTTTGTAATGTGTATCATTTGGATAATAATTTTATAAAAGAAAATGACAGCTTGCTTTTCCATATTTTTCTATTATCCAGAAACACAGATTCTGTGAATGAGTTGTGTGGTTATTTCATGGTCTTTTCACTAAGGGCATACTCATATCCTTTCAATAGCTATGACTTATATATTCTTTATAAGCAATAGTTTCATCAATTTTCCCTTTTTAGTTGTTTTTCTTTGGTAGCACCCTAAAGCATAATTCATTGGCCATCACTTATATGTAACTATATACACTGTGGAATTGTTAAGGCATGGGAAAACCCCATTGAATATAACTAGGAGAGGCCAGCGCCGCGGCTCACTAGGCTAATTCTCCACCTGCAGCGTCAGCACACGGGGTTCTAGTCCCAGTTGCTCCTCTTCCTGTCCAGCTCTCTGCTGTGGCCTGGGAGTGCAGTGGAGGATAGCCCAAGTGCTTGGGCCCTGCACCCACATGGGAGACCAGGAGAAGCACCTGGCTCCTGGCTTCGGATCAGCACTGTGCGCCGGCTGCAGCGCGCCAGCCCCAGCGGCCATTGGGGGAGTGAACCAACGGCAAAAGGAAGACCTTTCTATCTCTCTCTCTCACTGTCCACTCTGCCTGTCAAAAAAAAAAAAAAATACACACAAAAAAATGAATATAACTAGGAGATTCACATGAACAGGTTTATCAGGCTGAAGCTGACCATATGACAGACAATGCAACAGCCAGTAAGGGAGATTTTGAAGTGTGACTCTGTTAAGTAAATACCCAGATCAGAGTCCAAGACTAGGGAGGGGCTGGAACTGTGGCCACCTCGTGCAGGACCTCTCTCTTTGCCTCTGCCTTTCTGTAACTCCCCCTTTCAATCAAATAAATAAATCTTAAAAAAAAAAAAAAAGACTAGAGAGATATTTATGCTTTCACAAGATCTAAGGAAAACTGGCAAGGGGATTCTAGTCAGAATCAACCACCTGCACTAATATACGGCATCTGGCTCACTTCTTGGCTACGTGTAAAGTGCACGTACCAACTGCTGAGGATTAAAAAACATTACTACCTAGAGTCCAGTGTCTCTATTTAGTTGATTATCATGGTGTATTGCAACTCGGGTATGAAGTAGTTCCTTCTCTTTTCTCCAACACCACCAATGCATTTACTTAGATCATTCCACAAGATGTTATGTAACCAAGATTGGAAATTCAATTGCAGGTGAAAATAACTCCATTTAGATAATGTAATTAAGCTTGAATGATTTGCTAGTAGTGATGAACATTTCACAAAATACTTTCAGTAATGTCTCAGTGCTCATTCTAATCTCATGAGCATTAAGTAGATGCTAACTTAATAACCACTTTATGTGAGTAAACTGGGTCTTCAAAAAGTAAGTAATCACATTTCACACATGTAGCAAGAACTGAAATATGAATGGAGGCTCAAGCAATCGTTGGAAGCCCTGTGTTGGGGCTGGTGTTGTGCTGCAGCAGGTTAAGCGGCATCAGCATACCATCGAGTGCTAATTTGAGTCCTGCTGCTTCACTTCCAACCCAACTATCTGCTAGTACACCTAGGAAGACAGCAGAACAAGCCCCAAGTACTCCCATGTGGGAGATCAGGGAGGAGTTCCTGGCTCCTGGTTTCAGCCTAGGCCAGATCCAGTGGTTACGGCCATTTGGGGAGTAAACCAACAGATGGGAAAGCTGGCTCGCTGGCGCCGCTCTCTCTCTCTCTCTCGCTTTCACTTTGCCTTTCAAATAAATACTCTTTTTTTTTTTTAAGCCCTACTTTCAATATGGGTGACACAACCTATCTATGCCCGTTTTGCCTTGTACAAAAAAGAAAAATAGTATACCAGTTGTTGAGAGTTAAATGATAATATACGCAAAACACTCAGCACAGCGAGATAGTAGACAGCATTACTTTGATCATGAAGCTGGAGCTTTGCTGGCCACTATTTGAGGAATACCCTGGGTTGTAGGAGAGGAGCTGCTTTTATCAGATCCAAGTGCCCTGAGAATTCTGCTTGCAATCCCTCCCTCACAGAATGCTGGCGTTCAAACTACTATGCAAAAATGATGCCACGGTTAAAGAAACCAAGACTCAGGAAAAAAAATAGGGAGCATAATTGCAGTGCAATAAAGGCTTTGCAGCCCCCTTCCCAAGTTGACAATCATTTCTTCCTAGTGCCATTAAAATTGACTGTAGTGAAATGAAAAGAGAATTAACCAAATAAAACGTGGAGGTGGGCTGTTCTGATCACCGCTCCTGGTGCTACATTAAGGCATTTACTCAACAGTTATTAAAGAGTTTCTGCGTGCAGGACATTTTACTCCCTCTCATGTTCTCTTAATTCAATTCTTATTTACAGCACATACACACAAATCCATTCTGGTTCTTGCTAAGAATGATGGAGGATGACTTTATTAAATGTTAGACACAATCAAGACTCATTGTACTTTCCTCCGACTTTAAATGTGCAGATTCTCTTTGGTTGTGATTCAAAAAGAAAGGAAAACAAATGAAACTACATACTATAACCAAGTCTGGGACCTAGGTCTATGAGACATGAAAGAATTGCCAGTGAAGATAACCAGAATGTCAAAATGAATAAAAAGGCAATCTTCAGAGGTATAAAATAAGAGGCAAAATATGCCACGTGGCTATTTAACAGATAATGCTGAAAGTTTTCCAATCATGTCTGAATACACCAGTTATGTTCTAATTCATCCTCTGGATGTGACCATTTCTGAGAAATCCACAGATGTCCACTCAACTTTCCAGAAGTACCAGGAACTCGGCACAGCAGCTTTCCTAAATAGAGTCCCCACTCTTACGTAGATTTTAATAATTTACTTGGAACTTTAAAGACTTTTCTTTAGCTTGATCTGACTTATCAATAATATTTACTTGAAAATGTAAAGAACTAAGAGTAGGGGAAACTTCTTTGACATACTTTGGGCCTCAGGAGACCAGACAGCACCATTCTATTGAGATGACTCCAAATAATGTTCACATGAATGACTAAAGTGCAGAAATGTATAATTTATTAGATTTAAATAAATCACACGGAGATAAGTGCTTCATAGTTATTTGTAGAAATTTTTCAAAAAATAAAAAAGTTATAATTCTAAGAAATTAAGTTCTATATATAAAATTCTTCCCTATCTTTTGTATTTCAAAACAGAACATGTTGATTCTTTAACAGCATATATGCTTTTTTTAGCATGTAATAACAGTGAAATTTTTTAAACACATGACATAATACAAATTTATTTTTAGGGGAAAGTACCTTTCTAAAAACATGTACTGTTTTACCTGCAAAATGTTTTGACCATTCTTTTGTCTCAGCATTTCCCTGATACAGTTATCATTCTGGAACTATACAGCTAAAAAACTTGTCAAGAATTTCCCAGTGAGCCTGTTAAAATATGTCTAGTTTTCTCAAAGGCTATCACAGAATTTTTAAAAAGGCCCCTTTCTCTCAAGACTAATTACATCTTCTTTTTTTTTTCAGAAGGCAACTATTACCATAACAATTACAAGTCAATAAATATTTGCTAATTTCCAAAAACAGTGAAAATTATATATCCGACAGGATTTTAAATGGCATTGCTAAAACAAAAATCTGAACATGTAAACATCAAATAACTCTATAAGCACAACAACACGAACATCAGTTTTATTCACTGAATACATATTGTTTTTTAAAAAATCTATGGCATAAATATAACTATAGATGAACTCTGCTATTCTCAGCACTTTCTGACTCAAAGATTCAGTACACTATATGAAACCATCATTAAATTAAAGCATGTAAACTTATTTATGTACAACATGATTTTTTTAATGCCAAGGTTAAAAGGAAGAAAGCACAGATATATTGAAAAGCAAGGTAGAAATCCTGAAAAATTATCATAATTCAGTTTGCCACAGGGAAAATATACTTAAGATAAAATTGAAAATAAACATACGTTATGATATAGCCAAATTATTGTGAAACTTATCAAATTGGCTGGCTGTACATGGTGGAGGTCACAGGATATTATTACTTTAAAATGTTTCTCCACAAATTAGCATAAACACTATAGTTTCCAATATGCTACCTAAAAACATGGTGTTCCTTCCCAAGGGAGCCTGGTTTCAATCCAAGGCAGATGAGATAGATGGAGCCGAAATGGCAGTGTCTGACAGACACTAATGAAAAAGACCGGTGACGCTGCAGGCTTGGAACGTTTTACTTCATTGGAAGCAGTAGATAGAGCACAGAGGTCAAGAACATAAGCTCTAGAATCAGACCCGTGTTCAAGTGTGACCTCAGGGAAGTAATTCAATCTCTCTCAAGTTCAGTTTTCAGTGCTGAACCAGGAGGTAGGAGCATCACCCTCAATGGCTGTCCTAAGCACAGAACGCAGGGGAACTACTCAGCCCACTATCTGGGGGCACAGTTTACATTCAATATATGCCACATTTTAGCTTTTTCTTTGGAGAAGTCTAAAATTATAAGCCAAGCCAGTTGAAAATAACTGCCCAGGGGCTGGCATGGTGGCACAGCGGGTTAAGCCACAGCCTACAATACCAGTATCCCCTATCAGAATGCTGGTTCAAGTCCTAGCTTCTCTGCTTCCAATCCAGCTCCCTGCTAATGCACCTGGGTAAGCAGCACAAGATGGCCCAAGTACTTGGGCCCCTGCTAACCACATGGATAGAGTAATGGGCTACCACCTTCAGTTTGGTCCTGCCTCAACTGTTGCAGTCATTTGGTGAGTAAACCAGCAGAAAGAAGATCCCTCTTTGTCTCTGCTTCCGTGTCACTCAGCCTTTCAAATAAATAAATAAATAAACCTTTTAAAAAAGAATTTAAAACCTTTAATAAAAGAATTACAAGAAGGTCTGGCTTTATTGCTTAAGGAAAATTCCAAATGAACAGTACATAGAGAGAGGGTGGAAATACTGAAATGTCTAAGAAATCTGTATTTCCCACATTAGTGCTGATTTTGTTACTTTGCAAACTTAACTGCTTTCTTCTACAGATTTTTAAGCATTGCCACATTCTCATCAACATGTTCCTCTTCACCTTCACATTTTAGAAACCGGAAAACCCGTGTAATATAAAGATACTAACGACATACTTGCTTCAGATTAGGAAAAGTGGCAAAAACAGGCAGTTATTTTCATACAGGGGCTTATCCATTTCGGACACATTCACAGGGATCTTTGAAGAGGGTCAATTCAATGGTACAATGTCAGAATATGCACATATCAAAATTGGTTTGTTTGGAAAGATTGACTAAGGGCAATTTTTAACTGAGCAGAATTAAACTCAAAGCCTAACTGCAGTTGTGTGGATTTCACAGGTAGATTTTTAGAAATAGGTAATTTCTGACAAGTGACTTGAATTATATAAGTAGCACCAATATACCAGGATTCTACCCTCTTCCTAGGACGCCACATAATGGCAAAAATTTTAAATCGTAGGCAAGTTTAAAAAGTCACTGAGAAGTTGTTTTTCACGTTGAGGAAAGGACATTATTTTCACTTTTTGGACTAAAGGTCAATTTTAGACTCCAAAACATCTTTCCAAGCAAAATAAGTACATAAGATAAAGTTGTATCACTTTATACTCATGAGTACCAATGATGTCATAGCAAATAAGTGAAAAGTGCAATATGCATCCTGCAACTCTACAGGCTAGTTTTACAACCTGCAATTTTGAAAGCCAAATAACGGATCCTGACAATCTTTATCCAATAAAATAAATATAAGTGGCACTTTGGATAGTGGGGGTATTGTTTTGTAAATCTGTTCAGTGTGTGTGAAAGTGTGTCTCATTGTGCTCTGCTGTGAGTCGCTGCTTCAAATTTTGCCTTTTGGAGCCCCCTACAGGTTCTACATGCTAAAAACTTGCATCCTACAGTAATAACATACTTGGAGGGTGGTTCAGAATTAAACTCAGTAATTTATAGAGAAGTGAATGCTTATCTAAACAGGCAATGCTTGGTCTAAGAAGTCAAACTGAACATATGGCAGCTCAACCTCAACCTTGAAGCCAAACCATTCTTAAAATTTCATTTGGCAAAGCAAGCATAAGCCTTTACTGATTTAATTGGGAGAAATCTATCAGTATCTTCCAATGATAGCAGTCTAGGGGCAAACTAAGAACAAATGAAATCAAAAGAACTTTAGGGACAAGCATTGTGGTGCAACAGGTCAAGTTGCCACTGACGCTGCCATCCTACCTAGGAGCACCAGTTCCAGTCTGGGCCGCTCTACTTCTGATTCAGTTCCCTGCTGATTAATTCCCCTAGTAACCATTTCAGAAGCAAGCCAGTGGATGAAGTGCTGTTTCTCCCTCTCTTTGTGCCTTTTGTATAAATAAATATAATTTTAAAACTCTAGAAAGCTTACATAATTTTGTAAGGTTTTTACAAAGCAGTATTAAGATCTTAACTAATTATTAAAAAATGAACGCTTGAATCCCACATGGTGCTAGTTAGTGTCCTTGCTAATAGCCTGGGAAAAGCAGCAGCAGATGGCCCAAGTACCTGTCCCCTGCCACTCATGTGGGAGACCTGGTGAAGCTCTTGGTTCCTGATTGAGGCCATCTGGAAAGTGAACCAGCAGAAGGAAGATCTCTGTCTCTCCTTTTCTCTCTATAACTTTCAATAAATAAATATTTTTAAAGTATCAGCAATAGTTACCACTAGCTTATTTTAGTGACCTAGCCACAGCCACCAAAAAAGGGAAAAAAATCCGCTTGCAGAAGTCTGAGATGCAAACCACACATATCTTGCAAGCGATCGTCAAACACTATTCTGACCTTAATTTCACCTGTATCAAGTCGCCTATCTCAGAATGGTTTGGTTAACCTAAGGTCGATTGCAGAACAGGTAGGAGGCCAAATGGTAGATGATCCTGTTGAAAGGCGATCTCTTGGCAATAAAATCAATTTAGCATAAACGGAAGTGATTCATAACGCACGTGATATCAGTATATAGACTTTTTCAGAGTCAACACTGGTTGGCCCCTCAAGTAGTCTTTGAGACTAAAAATGAATATAATATGGGAGTTCTGTCCTGCAAGGATGTGTTAACAGCAGTCTTCCTGCCTGACTCAATTATCCAAAATCTTGTATGTTGGTACAGAGTCACATTTGTTTACTGCACCATGCATGACTAAATATGTTGGGCTGATGACTCAAAACATATCCTTGACTTTAGTACAATTTACACCAAAATCATTAAAAACCCCACATAAAACCACTAAAATTTCTGTTAATCAGCACTCCACTTTAGTAAAAATATTTGACTTGCTATTCTTAAAGAGATAAAATTATGTTCAGAATTATTCCTGCCCTCCCCCCAAAAGTCCTATAACTGATGTTTAGTATAAATTTATATAGAATCAACTGAGATCTGTTCAAAACAAATGGTCACAGAGCTTTTTTGCTATTTACATAATATATAAAATACAAATGCCTCTATTTGAAAAGAATGAAAGTAAAATCCACTCTCATTCTTTCGTGTTTTCCTGTATAAAATGAAATTTAAGGAATGACTTTCTTGGTCCATAATCGTTTTAAGGGGAATTTCATAAGAACTGCAATTTTTAAAATGAGAAAGCAGGAGCCCAAGGGACGTTCTTCCTTCCCTCTCCCATCAAACGCAGTCCTTTTGTGTACAATCACTGCGTTCTCCTGTTACTCCTTACAAGTTATCACACAGAACTTGTATTTTGCCGTCATCTCTTGTCAGTATTCTCTCCCTTCTCTCTTTTATTGTTGGCAGGTGTATTAAGACAACATGAAAATAACTGCTATCATAAAATTGTGCTTTGTATTTGGGGGTACCAAGACCCATCCATTAACCAAAACATAGGGCTACCAAGAATTGCCTACAAACAGTAGCTTAATACCCTGTTCTCTCATTCCTCATGCTACCCTGTGGAGGGAGTTACTCTGCTGAATACTAGCCAGTGACTTCATATTGAGTGACATTCTCTCATATATAAACTCAACATAAAACACACACACATACCCACTACCAACTCTCTCTCATGAGCAAGCATACACACATACATTTTCTTTCTTTCCAGAACAAGCCAGAATTACAGCTCTTTTGGTGATTGTTATAATTTTGGAATGGTTCAGAAATTTTCCAAATTCTTTTAAATTTGAAATACTTTCATCTTTTTTTTTCCAATTGTGAACCATTCCATATTGCATCTTTATTGCAAAAGTCAACATGCTTCTTAGAAATTCAGATTGTAATCGATAAAACAAACATTACATATATGAATTTAAATGTATAAACAGTTAGAAATTCAACAGTATCTCCTATTATACTATTACACAAGTTCACAATTCATAAAAACTATAATACAGGCATACTATACATCAAGAGGAACCACTATTCCTTTTCACATGATTTTTTTTTCTTCTATTTTGAAATAATGATCACCACAGACCTTTCACCTTAACAGGGCTGTTCTCCATTAGATCATCTCAGCTGGTGACAGTATATTCTCAATATTCCAAGAAGAAATTGAGGGAAATTTCTTTGGGATTAGCTTTTTTTTTTTGAGCTTGGGCAGTTATCTAGTAAGTCGCCTGACCCAGCCAGCCTGCTGGGAGGTTGTTGCTGATCAGCTTCTTGTAAACACATCACGCATACAAGAACAGCAGAATCCACCTCAGATGCTGTATGTTAATCTCCGTAAATGAAGATGTGAAGAAAACAAATCATTGTGGTTCTTCACTTCACTTTTAAAAGAAATTCTAACAGTTGGGGATTTGAAGGTAGGATAAAAAAAACTCCAAAGAGGAGGATAACAAAAAAAATTCAACTGTTTTATGCATTTGAATTCATTTATGAGTCAAAATGTTTTAGAATTCTTAGAAATGACACTTTGAAAGCAAAATTTCAGTCTTTTTTAAGATGTACTAAAAATCAAATTTACACAAAAAACCTCAAACCTTAACACTTTTCTCTTTCATTCCCTGCCCCCAATAACTAAAAAGTCAAATCCTCAACTTCCTCTCTAAGAGTGTAATAAGATGACAATTTTGAGGGTAAAAAATCATATGAAAAGGAATCTCATTCTATTGAACTGTCAGTCTACTGAAAATTCTTACAGCTCCATTAATTTACTGTAATTTTCAGTTTCCAAATACAAAAATACAACAATTCTTATTGAAATCTATACGCTGGTAGTTTTAGTACACACACACACACAAAAACAAAACAAAACAAAAAAAGAAAACAAAACCAAAAACCAAACAAATTATTTACAAAATTATACAGCTTAAGAAAAACCTTTGTACAAAAAATATATAAATCCTTTGTTCCCTCTATCATGTTTAAACTGTCAGGACTCAAAATATTCACCACAACGAATCTTTCAAAATATATATGACTGAGCCACAGACATTAAGAAAATTTCATTAGAGATGATGGAGGAGTAAGGAGCAAGAGTGCTTATTCTAGGTACCCCATTCTAATGTTTTCTTTCTATGCTTGTAAGTTTATTTTAGCTTCAGTGTTACCAGAAATATAACAATAACCTCAAAAAAGGATTCCCTTGTTATGAAGGGACAATTATATGGACTTAAAAATGACCCTGGCTAGACACATCATTCCAGGAAATTATGTAGAAGAGAAAAGATGATCAGAACATGGGATGTAACTTCTTGTAGTTAAGTGAATCTAGAGTCCTGATGGTTTTAAGTTTCTTAGTGAATGGATTCTATTCTGAAAAAGAGTCATTACCTCAAGAAACAAATTTTTAGAGTGATCACCAAGAACCCTCTGAAGCCAACAGGAAATTTCAAATTTTCACACCACACATTTATAAAAGCACAGATGTGTATATCCTTCAAAAAGTGATATCCTAGATACAATAATCATTTTATTTCCCTAGTGGTCAGTACAGTGTAGTGTTGCTCCTCTGCTTTTCCATCTAACATTCAGAACACAAGGACATAAATTTACATATATATCTTACTTAACAGATACTCTACTCTATACAGTGTACAGTAAAAATGCACACAGGAAAGGAAACTATCTACTGAAGGACGCATGTGCATGGATAGCAACACGCTACAAAATTATGAAAATATATGATCATCTGATCAAAGTCAAGGTATGACTCCCATTTATTACTAACATCCCCAGCTCCCTGCCCTACCTCCACCCCACCCCCGTACCCTCACCATCATGGTTGAAATTTAGAAAATTTCAGACACTTTTTAACCTTTTTGTATAACTATAACTAAGCTGAAGATTTAAAATAGAAGGAAAAAAAAAAAAGGCTGGTGGCTCCCCCCATTCTTCCATTATTCTGATCAAAACATCACTTATTTATCAAGGTGTTGCTTTAAACCTTTTATTGGGGACTGACTTTTGGTGGCCCAAATCAATCATCTTAATATTGAGTACGTCAGGCCTATTAAAAAACAGGCAAGAGTAATAAAGGGGGACAAGAAAGAGGCAATAGGTGAAAGCCTTTTACATTCTGAAAATATTACTAAATAAAAAAAGGAACCAACTGAACAATGCTGAGTGGCAAAGCAAAGATCAGTAGAAGGAAAAGTACAGGAGTTAATGTGATGAGAATGGAATTACCATAGAGCTAGCTATCATTACCTTATAGCCTTTAAGAACAGAGTTTGTTGTGATTTTCACTGAAATAGTATTACTGCACATAAAAAACCTGAAAAAAATTTAGATTGAATACAAATTGGACTCTTCTACAGTAAAAAATTAAAATAAATTTACTTTTCTTCCAAGACAACTCTTGAAAGCGAAAGTGTATTTTAATTACAAATATCTCCTACTGTCTGACAACCCATCCATAATAGCTTAGAGTTAAGAGATTCCAGGCAATTTTGTCATTTAATGAAATTTTATCAGATTATAATCCAAAATAAAATTTCTGAACACCCTGTCATTTACATCATCATCCAACACCAATAGCAACAAAAAAAGGTGTGGAAAATAAGGCTCTAGAGATTATCCATATCATTCCTGTAGATCTTCACAACTGTGTAAAAGTCACTAGGCCTTTGGTGCTTTAATATCATGTACAGTTATGAGATGTGTTTAAATAGCAAACTTGCTGTCCTTAAACCTACTGTGTTGAAAAAAAATAAAAAAAATTTTTTGGCTCATTGACTTCTTTAAATAATTTTAAAAAGTTGTTCTTCTAAACAATATTCCTAAAAATTATACAGCTCTCATCAGATTTCATCTTCGCCATGAACGAGACTCGTATTCATCTTCATCTTCGTCATCATCATCATGCAAAAACAAATCTGAGGTTTCTGTTTCCTGAAGAGAGAGAGGATACAATCAGCTTAGTTGTACAGGAACGTGAGGTAAAATACCTTTTATGCTAAAAGACAAAAAGACTGTGGCCAGCGCTGTGGTGCAGTGGGTTAAAGCCCCAGCCCTGCAGCACCAGCATCCCATATGGACACCGGTTAAAGTCCCTGCTGCTCCACTTCCGATCTGGCTCTCTGCTATGGCCTGGGAAAGCAGTGGAAGATGGCCCAAGTCCTTGGGCCCCTGCACCCTCGTGGGAAACCCAAAAGAAGCTCCTGGCTCCTGACTTCAGCTCAGCTCACCTCAGTTCTGGCCACTGTGGTCACGTAGAAGGTGAACCAGCGGATGGAAGACCCCTCTCTGTCTGTCTGTCTGTCTCTCTCTCTCTCTCCCTCCTTCCCTTTGTAACTCTTTCAAATAAATGAAATAAATCTTAAAAAAAAAATACAAAAAGACATAAAAAAAACACCTACATAGGACTTACAAGTGATACATGCAGAGTATCTTTCAGGACAAAAAGAACACCAAAAAGTATTTTATTTTTTTAAACAGATATAAATTCCTTTCTCCTGCCAACTGTTTGACTTCTAACAGATTTCTATTCTAGTATCATCAGGAAAATAAATAGTATGTGAATGTTTATAGGAGAAATGAAAGAAAAAAAATCCTGGGGCTGCCGCCGTGGCGTAGTAGGTTAATCCTCCATCTGCGGCACCGGCATCCCATATGGGTATCTGTTCTAGTCCCAGCTGCCCCTCTTCCAGTCCAGTTCTCTGCTGTAGCCTGGGAAAGTAGTGGAAGATGACCCAAGTCCTTGGGCCCCTGCACCCAAGTGGGAGACCAGGAAGAAGCGCCTGGCTCCTGGAATTGAATTGGTGCAGCTCTGGCTATTGTGGCCAATTGGGGAGTGAATCAAAGGAAGGAAGACCTTTCTGTCTCACCCTCTCTTCGTAACTCTAACTCTCAAATAAAATAAATAAAATATTAAAAAAAAGAAAGAAAAAATCTGAAATATTTTTCTGATAAATTAAAAATAATTTTATTTCATTAACTTAAAAATGAGGAATCTAAAAGGCCACACAAACTCCTAAATCTTTCCTTCTATATATACATCTAATATTTTAATTACAAATCTAATTTAATTATTTGTGAGTCAATCTCTCTCTTCCCCCATCTCTCTGCCACTCTCCTTCTGTCACTCTGCCTTTCAAATAAACAAAATCTTAAAAAATAACAAAACAATAAAACCTTAAAATCTCATACCAAGTTCAAGTATCCAGAAACCTTACCAAAATGCAAAGTTTTCTTTAGTTTTTTACTAAGGGGCTCATTTCTGCCTTTCTTATATAAAATTCTGTTAGAAGTCACATTACCAAATATAAATGTTAAACTGTTAAACACGGTTTTTTTTTAAGATAAACTTATTTTTAATTCTATTTTTCCACAAACATTTTTTACCATTTTATTTGAAAGGTAGAAAGAGAGAGAAACAGAGCAGAATTTATCTGCTAGTTCACTCCTCAAATGCCCAAAAGAGCCAGGGTTAGGCCAGGCCAAAGCCAGGAACCAGAAATTCAATCCAGATCTCCCCCATGAACGACCCAAATACTCAAGCCATCATCTGCTGCCTCCCAGGGTACACATCAACAGGAAGTTGGCATTGGGGGCAGAGCAAGAACACAAAACTAGGCACAGTTTGATATGAGTTTCTCAAGAGATGCCCTAAGGGCTGCACCAAAGACCTGCCACCTCATATATTTTAAGAGGCTGATTTTTGCTTCTAGACTGGTCTTTTTTTTTTTTTGGACAGGCAGACTTAGACAGTGAGAGAAGAAGAGACAGAGAGAAAGGTCCTCCTTCCATTGGTTCACCTCCAAAGTGGCCGCTACGGCTGGTGTGTTGCGGCCGGTGCGCTGCACTGATCTGAAGCCAGGAGTCAGGTGCTTCCTCCTGGTCTCCCATGCGGGTGCAGGGCCCAAGCACTTGGGCCATCCTCCACTGCCTTCCCTGGCCACAGCAGAGAGCTGGACTGGAAGAGGAGCAACTGGGACAGAAGCTGGCGCCCCAACCGGGACGGACTAGAACCCAGGGTGCTGGCGCCACAGGTGGAAGATTAGCCTAGTAAGCCGTGGTGCCGGCATATCTTTTAATTTATACTATGTCAAGAAAAATATAATTGGAAATGATTTAATTCAACTCTTATTTTCAGTCATTAAATTTACCTCCTCTTTGACTTCTTCTTCCTCAGTCTCAGTGGATACAGATGGTACCTTGGGCTTGTGCCATGATATTTGTAGTCGACGGTCTTTGAATTTTGACCCTTGATTTGTAGCCTAAAATGTATTAAAGAAGAACACACTAAGTTGGCACTCACATTTATTAATAATTTTTTTCAAATTCCATGCTATTTAAAAACTTCAATGATTTGGAAGAAAATCCATTAAGCTGAATCTACAACTAATCTCCAATGAGAACACAACTGTATGTTCTGCTTTGCCTAGATATTCCATGGTTTATATCAATGTCAGGCGAATTTTGTAATTCATCTTGGTTGGGAAGATAAATTTTATAGTCATCCTATAATAAAAGTCATGATGAGGGTACAAAATATTTTTTCTTGATACAATTATTGATCTTTGACTTTGATGTCTACTACATATTTAAACCTTAAAAAGAGTAATTTTTAAAACAGTGAATCATCTCATATTTATTTAACTCACTGCATTTCTTACAGTGCCACTTACCTGTATTTAATCTCTTGCCACTTCTGCTTCTGAAATTCTATACAATGACAAGTACTTCCCAGCTAATTCACAAACATTAATTCGACACCTACTGTCCTAACTTAAAGGAAAACTGTCTCAACTGTGTTAAGAATACTACTTCCAAAACATATTTTTCTCCCCAGCAAATCTCAGTAAAGAAAGTAAAAACTTAATTTTAAGGACAAGCAAAAAAGCAAAAGCAAAGAAATCCTAAGTTTCACCAAAGTGAAAGTTTCGTCACCCCTAACAGCTTTTCTGTTAAAAGAACTTGCAGTTCTGAAAAACCTAACAGAGGGGTTCTTTTCAATTTTATATTTCACTCCGGTCTTCCTGGGAAAATTATTGGTAAGTCTTATGGAGCATTTGAAACAGAATATTGCAGCGCTGCAGGTAACAGCAAACTTTAGGCCAAACCCATAACTATACCCTGTATAGATATTATTCTGTGACTTGACAAAAAAATTCCCATCACTCCTTGTGGGGACTGAATCCTTATAACCTGACATGAAACATTTCAATTAGTGAGACATACCAAATGATGTATGAAAATGACTATCCAATCATAATTTACCTACTTTTAAATATACATATCCTTATACAGTTTTTAAACTTTAAAAAAAAAAAATTGCTCTTGTATTTTATTTGAAAGGCAGAGACAGGAAGACCAATCTCCTGATTTTCTCCCAAACAGTCTGTAATAGACAGGCTGGCCCAGGCAGAAGCTACCTAGAACTCAATTTGGGGATCCATTACTGCTGTCTCCCAGAGTGTACATTAATTAACATGAAGGCAGAACTGGAAGCAGAGCCAGGACTCAAATGTAGGCATACTGATATGACAAGTACATATATATCTTAAGCGGGGGTCCTAACCGCTTTCCCAAACATCTATCCCATCTACCTTTTTAACACAGTCCAATTACAGAAAGGCTTTCAATGCTTGTTTTGTTCATTTCTGTATTACTTGAATTTTTAAGTAAAAATACAGTACTTTTATAAGCAGAAAAAGCAATGAAGATTTTAATCTGTAATATAACCCCGAAAGGAATTTTAAGGCATTAAATGTACTGAAAATGTTACTAAAGGAAGAACTAGGAATTTAATCTGTACACAGCCAGGAACTAAGAATAAATAAAATCTATTATCCTACTAATAACAAATCAACTAAGATTAGCAATCAAGAACTCTTCTTATACATGACTAATGAGAATCTAAAATTGATGTGGTTCACTCAGCAACTCAATATATATATCCAATAGAATTTTCCGTACATATACAGAAGACATTTCTGAGAATGTGCATAGCCATACTATTTTCAAAATCCACAGAGCATAAATAACTTTTATATTTCTCAATGGGAGGCTGGAAAAATAAATTATGGTATACTTCTACAAATAAAAATGTTATACAACTGTTACATACAACAAAATGAATGCATCTTACAAATATAATGGTAAGCAAGAGAACCAAGACACAAGAGAATACATATTGTATGATTCCACTCATATAAAATTCAAAAAGGGGTCGGTGCAGTGCTGGCATCCCATATGGGCGTTGGTTCGAGTCCCAGCTGCTCTTCCGATCCAGCTCTGCTATAGCTTGGGAAAGCAGTAGAAGATAGCCCAAGTGCTTGGGTCCCTACACCCACGTGGGAGACCCAGAACAAATTCCTGTCTCCTGGCTTCGGATCTGTGCAGCTCCAACCATTGCGGCCAGCTGGGGAGTGAATTAGTGGATAGAAGACCTCTCTCTCTTGCCGCGGCTCAATAGGCTAATCCTCCACCTAGCGGCGCCAGCACACCGGGTTCTAGTCTCGGTCAGGGCGCCGGATTCTGTCCTGGTTGTCCCTCTTCCAGGCCAGCTCTCTGTTGTGGCCAGGGAGTGCAGTGGAGGATGGCCCAGGTGCTTGGGCCCTGCACCCCATGGGAGACCAGGAGAAGCACCTGGCTCCTGCCTTAGGTGCGCCGGCCGTGGCGGCCATTGGAAGGTGAACCAACAGCGAAAAGGAAGACCTTTCTCTCTCTCTCTCTCACTGTCCACTCTGCCTGTCCCTTGGAACTATATAAAAAAAAAAAAAAAAAGACCTCTCTCTCTCTGACTCTCCTCTCTCTGTGTAACTCTGACTTTCAAATAAATAAATAAATCTTTAAAAAATTTGAAAAACAAGAAGATAGGAAAGCACACTTAGGTGATAAAACTACAGTCAATTCTTGTTACTGGTCTATTAAATTACTGAGAACACTGAATAAGCAAATACTAAACCACTGCTCCTGGGGGAAATACCGGATAAAGTTGTATTTACAAGCTTCTAGAGGGTCATATATTTTTTTGTCAAGTGACAGAAACATAACCCTTTTTTATGCGTACTTCTGTTTGAAGTATATAGATACTTTAATATATATTATTGATTTACTACAACTGAACTCATGCCTGAACAAAGTTTGTCTAATTTGTGTTTTCTCTGAAGGCATACCTCAGCTTTCTTCAATTTAGGAATACCAGAGACCCCTCAGAATTACACTTCTGAGGGGAACCAGTGCGCCAACATAGTTGGTTAAGCTGCTGCTTGCAATACCAGCATCCTATTGAAAGAGCGTAGGCTCTAGTCCCGGCTGTCCCACTTCCTATCCAGCTCCCTGCTAATGTGTCTGTGAAAGCATCAGAAGATGGCAACAAGCCCCCCACATGGGAAACCTGGATGGAGTCTCAGGCTCCCGTTTTTGGCCTGGTCAAAAGCACTGATCGTTGGGACCATCTGGGAAGTGCATCAATGGACAGAAGATCTCTCACTCTTCCTCTGTCTTTCAAGTAAATAAATAAACCTTAAAACTATACTTTGGGGTCATTTTAAACAGCTTAACCAACAACAAAAAGCATAAAAATGAGACAACTGTGGCATTAAGTAGTCTGCAAAAAGGTCATTGTTTACAGTATAAGAGCTAAAAAAAGAAGTCAGAGTAATGCATAACTTGACTTCAGCAGGAATGTACACATCAGGGGACTCACAACTCTGCAAGTCTAAGAAAAACCACAAACTCAATAAGTATGGATGCTCCTCAACTTGATGGAATTATGTCTCCATAAACTAATCTAAGTTGGAAAATACATGAAACACTACAAACTAACCTACTGAGCATCCCAGCTTAGCAACATATCTTAAACATGCTCAGAATACTTACATCAGCTTATGTTTGGGAAAATTCATTTTACACAAAGGCTATTTTTTAATAAAATGTAGAATATCTCATGCTATTTACTGAATACTGTGTGAAAGTGAAAAAAACAAAAGGCTGTATGGGTAGGTATACTTTAACACCACTGTAAAATCACAAGCTGAACCATTATAACTTCGGGATTATCTGTATTGATTGGGGGGGGGTCTCAAATAAATTTTAGTGACTAGATAAACTGGCAAATATTGAATCCTCAAATTAAAAAAAAAAGCTTATAAAGAAATCAAGGATGCCTATTATCATAAAGCAAGGATAATGGTTACTTCTCTAAGGCAGATAGAAGACACAGCTGGGAGGAACACCAAAAGGGCTCTAGGTGCTGTGAATGCCCCATTTTTTTAGCTGAGGCATGGGTAAATGCGTGCTTACCTTCTGATAAATCACTGAACCATGTTTCTAATTGGTACAACTGGTTTTCATAATATTTTAAATTAACTATCATCTTTATGATTTTAAGGAAATACTAAAATAGCCAAGATTTTTATGTGAAAAAATAAGTTTTGGAATAAGCCTCTGTATTTAAAATGTAATCACATTACAGTAAATGTTTTAAAATGAGTTATCTACCTACTCTTTTTTTTTTTTTTTTAATTTATTTATTTGAAAGTCAGAGTTACACAGAGAGAAGGAGAGACAGAGAGAGAGAAAGAAAGAGGTCTTCCATCCGCTGGTTCACTCCCCAGATGGTCACAATGGCAGGAGCTGCACTGATCTGAAGTCAGTAGCCAGGAATTTCTTTCAGGTCTCCCATGTGTGTGCAGGGGCTCAAGGACTTAGGCCATCTTCTACTGCTTTCCCAGGCCATAACACAGAGCTGGATTGGAAATGCAGCAGCTGGGACTCAAACTGGCACCCATATGGGATACTGGCACTGCAGGCAGAGCTTTACCCAGCTACACCACAGACCCAGCCGCTCTACCTACTCTTATATACATTTTTTTTTCCTATAAATATACCCAAAATTAGTGACAGTGACTATCTTTCAAGGGTGAACAGAAATTAGTAGGAGGAAGATTCACATTTTATTAACCATATTTTTAACCACTGATGCATATTTCTTTCTTCAATTAAAGCATTTTAATAATATGAGGATTGACCTCTTAAAATATCACATACTCATTAATAACTATATGAACATATATAGTCTCATATATATATATATATTTATGGCTTGAAATAATGAAACACTAGAAAGAAAGTTACAATGAAACACTGTTTAAACACATTTAAATCCAATGTTTAATGATACATGGATGCAAAGAAGAATTAAGAAGCCATTAAGAAAAATGAAGGAACATCATGTATAGCAGTACAGAGCAATCTCTGATACTTTAAC